TTTTTATTATATAGATGTAATATTTTCTTCATTCTATTTATCTTTATTTATTTATTTTCATTTAACTTTTTGAATCACAATACCCTGTTGGGGCAACTTAATGGCTGCACTTTGTTCTGCACTATGTTCCACCGCTTTAAGACAAATGGACTTGTTGTGTTTTCATATTCAAGAGATTATAAGCTAGATGCAGCCTTTTTTGGGTTTGCATCAAATGTTCTTGGACTTTAATGCATAATAAATGTGTTTATGAATAAAGATTGATCTGTTGAAAGCAGTTATTTTGAGTTAGATGCCAAAAGCTCTCCTCCTATTCAAATGTTACATTGAAGGGGTGAATACAACATATAGATGTATTCAAATACGATTTTCAAGAAAAAAAAAAAAACCCTGGGGAAAATAAATGCACATAATATGTTCACATAGGACAGTATTAACATGACTATATGCATGAAACCATTCATAAAAATGTAGGCACAAATGGGTTAATAAAACTACGTGAGACAAATGAGAATGATTTTTGTATTAATTTAATAAGTAAAATACCATCTTAAGCTGATTTTGTGAAAGCAACACAAAAAAGTTTGGATGTTGACTCATGTTTGGATGATCAGAGAATCTGGGATCCTGATTGGCTGTTGGTGAGGATTCAGTGTTCAGTCAGTCGTGATCAATAGTGTGATAGATCGATTCATGAAGAGAATCAGCTGTGAGACTCTGGTACACATGACTCTGTCTATTGCTGTCCAGTTCTGTGTAGATCTCATCTTCTGTTCGTGTTGAGTCTCTGTCAACAATCAATATTCAATTTATGAAGGTGATGTAAACTGAATCATTATATATTCTATGGTAATTATACATTAATATAATATTTTGTATATGTAAATTACAGTATATAGGCCTACTTTTATTGTACATGACCAAAAAAAACCAAACATTTTATTCATTTCAACAAATTTACCATCAAAACAGATGCTGCATAAATTTTGAGTTTCCCTCTCGTAATAATGACTCTGTGGTGGCATTCATGTGCGTTCAACTCATAATTACAATCTATCCAACATGACTTGAATGCACCATATGATCCATTATCTATTATACCATGAATAGATGTGTAGTCTTGTTTGTTCTTGTTAAATGTTTTAACTATCACTTTAAAATGATAAAGGAATTAAGTGTTTTTATTAAGTAAAATAAGTGTTAAATGAATTTAAAATTTTTTGTAATTTATCATTTGCTGCCATAAAATGATAGTATGTATATTTTGGCATTATATCAGCCTTTTTACTCCAAAGATTTTCCCATTAAAGTATCATGGGCTTCAACAGAATGTGAGTGTTAAAGTGAAGTCCAATTGACTGTCTTTATAGGGCGAGACATATAAGCATGTGTTAAACTGTAGGCCATGTGGTTTCAAATGGATCAGATGGTGTTGGTGTGCTTGAGCTCTCTCTGTGTGTGTGTGTGTGTGTGTGTGTGTGTGTGTGTGTGAATTCACTTCTCACACTGACTCATTATGAGACGCGTAAGAGGAAGACCATGCTGTATCACATCCCATCTGAAACCCATATGAGACTCAGTGGCACCTCAGAAATCCCCAGCACTGTTATATGTCAGTGTTTATGATGCCAAACGGATAGTGATCTCAATTATAATCATAACACGGGTTGATGAGAAACAGGTTTTCAATAGTCCTGCTGTTTATAAAGTACAAATTGTTCATTGTATCATTGACAGTAAGTCTTATAAACCACGAGCACATTGTAAAAGGAGCTGTTAAAATAGCTTTAGATGGAGTTAGACTCACACAAATTGGTCTAATGTTTATTAATGCTGAAAATATCTTTATTATGCATAGGCATCACACTGGAGGACTGAGTAATTGAACTTCATTTTAATTTATTTATTTTTGACTTATCTATTTATTTGACTAGCTTTATTTATTATTAATTTACTACATTTTTGTCTATTTTTAAAGTATCATTTCACGATCAAATGTTTGACTCATTTGATAGTGCCACTCTATTTAAATAACGTTTGTATTTTCATTGTACAATTTCCAAATAAATTTGAACAGATAATAGTGTGTTTATGGACAAAATCAGTGTTCTTTGCTGTAAATGAATGAATAAACACAAAGCCTTTTTCTCTGAGGACAGTAAAATTACACGTCACATCAACTTCTTGTGTACATATGGGCTATTTGAGTATAGCATAGTGCATCTTCAGCTATTGTGTATCTCACCACTGGTGACTGTTATCCAGATCTGTGAGGTGTAATCTGGCAGCAGAGCGATATCTACACCACACCAGTACTTTCCAGAGTCTTCTGGAGCCAGTCTAGAGATGTTTGCCGTGAGAACATGAGCGCTGGTGTCATCCAGAAGAGCCAGCCTCGCTCCTTCAGACCTGGACTCTGGTTGTGTGGTGTGAACACACTGAAGATCTCCTGGAGCAAACGAGCCGCTCGTCTGGCAGAAGTGCTTGCTGTTATTCTGGTAGGTTTCAGGATAGCTGCAGGAGACTGAGATGTTGCTCCCCACAGATCCAGTGATGTTAACAGCCAGCGAGTTCTCCATCAGCCACAGCGCTGAAAGACCAAGAACTGCTGACAGATGTCATCTCACTGTTAGTCTGCTGAATTGTGGTGTTTATCAATGATATCAAGCACAGTGAAGAGTAAAAAGTGCCATTCTCACACACTGAATATATTATGATGGATGTTGTACCTGAGAAACTGATGGACGTGGAGGTTCTCATGCCTGCTTCAACCTCAACTCACACTACCTGTTCTCATGCTAACTATTTGGTAGATATTGTGTGTGTGTGTTCAGTTGTGTGTGAGTTACACTTCCCTAATGCACATGGTTAAGTAAACACAAACACAGTGTCAGTCTGATCTGAAAAACAGCTCCCTCTTCAGGGCAGCAAAGGTATCAAGCACAAGAGAGAGTAAAAAGTGCCATTCTCACACACTGAATATATTATGACGGATGACGGTTCTCATGACTGCCTGCTTCAACCTCAACTCACACTACCTGTTCTCACACTAAATACTAGATATATATTATCTGTGTGTGTGTGTGTGTGTGTGTGTGTGTGTGTGTGTGTGTGTGTTACACTTCCCTAACGCACATGGATCAGTAAACACAAAAACAGTCTCAGTCTGAGCTGAAAAGCAGCTCCCTCTTCAGGGCAGCGGAGGTAAAGTCTGGCCATCCTCAAGGTTAGAAGATTGATTTATAATTTACTGCTTTTAATTTATTAATCTGTATTTGATTTATTTATTGGTTTTATTTACAGTTTTAATTGAACTTATTTGCTTATTTTTAATTCAATTTGTTTCTTTTCATGTATTTTTTTTTTCATATTGACTGTTTTAATTTAATTTGTTTATTTCTCTTTTTAAGTAATTCATGTTTGACTTTATGTATTTATTTAATTTTTTTATTTCACTTATTTAGTTTTGATTTACTGTTTTTATTTAATTTTTTTATTTGATTATTTTATTTATATATTGTAGCCTGATTATTTTATAAGGCAAAGCAATTACATGTTCCTGCCTCAAAGAAATGCATGATTATAATTGGACATGCATCTAAACGTGCATTTTGATGTTATTGTGCAAACACTTACTGTCTATAAAAATGAAGAAGTACTTTTCTGTGAAGAAAGACAAACATTGCGTGTTCAGGAAATTGATTAACACCATCTGACCATGTGACAGCAAATTTCCCTGTTACTCTGAAAGCTTCATAGTGTCATTTGATTATTATCTGTAAGCTGCAGTCATGTATTTAGACATTTTTTATCATTATTCCTGAATGAGTTATTTGTATTTTATTTGAGTATTTAGAAAGTGGTTTAATTAGTGTGAATCTTTTGTAAGTGGTTTCGTTTGGGTTGTTCCTGTCTTGTTACGGGGCAGCCCGTTAAAAATAGACTATAAAGTCCTACTACAGTAAGAGAGAAAAGAAATATGTCATTTACTGATCAGTCAGAGTGATGGACTACAACAACAATAAAAGATGTCATCTTCATTTCCAACTGTTTAAGAATATTGGGTTTAATTATCAATAAATGCCATTGGATCATGACGGAAAGCTGTTTAAAGTTGCGTGTGTGGGCAGCACCCAAAAAAGAGGAAGAAATATATCTGTCTGCAGGGATATTTTAAAACAAACCGTGTGAACTCAGTTTAACGGCTGCTGGAGATTAGACTCAGCAGAACACGGTAAGAGTTACTCTGATTAACATGTGAATATAGTCTGATTAATACTGTTGTAGAAACCACTAATGTACTCGATATGAGATATTCTCATTGAAAACTGCTTTATGGAGATGTTTTTGAAGCTAAAGACTACAGTCAGAGGCTTCAGTATCTGGGAGACAAACAGCAGAACTGCAACTTTATACTGAGTGATGTGACACAGAAAGATGAACGCATGTACTATTGCAGATTCACCACTAATGTACCTGATGAGAAATGGCTTGGTTATCCAGGAGTGACTCTTACTGTCACAGAACCACTGATTTACTCGATATGAGATATTCTCATTGAAAACTGCTTTATGGAGATGTTTTTGAAGCTAAAGACTGTTTTTCTCATGTTGTGTGTGTTATATTGGTCTTGTAGTGACGTCAGTCAGAATGGCTCCTCCTCTTCCTCTGCTGATTCTGCTCGTGATTCACAGTGAGTCAGTCCTATTGGAAAATTAATATTCTGTTGTTGGTAATGAAATAAACTTGTTCTTTGTGACTTTCTTTAACTGGGGGTCTGCAAATCATTTGACTCCCTGTTAAATGTTTCATAAACTTGTTTTAAAAGTTTCATAAACTTGTTTTGTATTAATCAAAAATACATTATCAAGTAAAGTTCAGTCAGTTCAAAAAACTAAAGTTTACCTAAACTCCCACATTAGAGTATAACATGTTGAATTAAAATTAATGTATTTTATGACAGCCTTAAAGTTTGAGACAACTTGGAATTTGTGAAAAAAGATTCATTTTGGGTGAACGATTCCTTTAATGTGTGTTCCAGGTGTTTATGGCCAGTATGGTTGGGATGTGAGTTACAGACATTCACACATCTGTGCACTGAAGGGGTCAACAGTGACAATGAGCTGCACTTTTAGATACCCTACTGGAAATCAGATCATAACAGCATTTTGGACCAAAACACAAGTTAAAGAGAAACATGAAGAGTTTCCAGATCTGTCTGAGGATTCTGAATACAGTCAGAGGCTTCAGTATCTGGGAGACAAACAGCAGAACTGCACCATCAGACTGAGTCATGTGACACAGAAGGATGAACGCATGTACTATTGCAGATTCACTACTAATGTACCTGATGAGAAATGGATTGGCACTCCAGGAGTGACTCTTACTGTCACAGGTGACTTTCATGAGGCTGAGCTCTTCTTCTGTGCATTATGTTGAATAATAATCAGTGTATGACAGCAGCACTAGATATAATGTGTGTGTTGTGTTCAGATCTTCAGGTGGAGGCTCCTGAGAGAGTGACAGAGGGTCAAAATGTCCGTCTGATATGTAAAAGCAGCTGCACTCTGACTGAAAGAGCAACATTCATCTGGTACAGAAACTCACAGCCATTAACTGAGAGAAGAGACGGAAACAATCAACTCCTGCTGCAGTCAGTCAGAAGAGAGGATGCAGGCAGATACAGCTGTGCTCTACATGGACACATTTACACATCACCTGATGTGCAGCTGAATGTCAGATGTGAGTATATTCTTTAAAGGTTCGCTTCACTCGTCCCTCCTTTTCTTTAAAACAGCATAAATCAGGTTTATAAGTGACACGTACAATGGAAGTAAACAGGGCCGATCCCTAAACATTCAAAATACTCATTATTTAAATACTACATCCACAAGATGTGAAAACAAATGTGTTAACATGATTTTAGTGTGAAAGAATGCTTTAAAAATGTATACAAAATTGTACAACTTCGTTGCATCCCATAACAATGCAAAGGAGCTGTCACATTTACCGTTGGTCTGTGAAATTCCGTGGGTGAAATCACAGCAACGTCCCCAGTGTTAAATTAACAGTGTTAGTGTTAACAGACCATTACACTGGGTAACATAGGATTCTGGGAACATGGGTAAGCTCCCATCTGTGATTATATTGCCCGTGTGTTGTAAAAAACAGATTAAACCCATTACAGACAGACCCCAAAGCGGAGGCATTGTAACATTTTGAGCAGCATTGAGTGAAGTTCTGTCATTGTAGTGGATGTTCACGAGGGAGGGGATTTCATGTGAGGGAGAAAAAGTT